TCTGCTCGGGGGTGTGCTGTGCCTCACCCCAATTCTGCCCCCAAGGGGAGAGGACGCTTCAGTCCCTCTCACGGCCTTGTCTTAGGGGTGACAGCTTTGCCTTGGGGAAAGGAAGAGGGTTCCCCCCTCTCTTTAACCCCCTCCCATGCCCTCTGTCTTCATGCTTGTGGGCCATCAGTGAGGAATGAGCTGGAAGCCACAGGCAAAAAAGAAGGGAGGACTCCTTTTTTTGGTCTTTTTGAGACAAGGTCTCACCATGCAGTTCAGGCTGGCCTTGAGCTCACTTTATAGCCCAGGCTGGCCTCAGACTTGCAGCAATCCTCCTGCCTCAGCCTCCCGAGTGCTGGGATTACAGGTGTGTGCCACCATGCCCAGCTATGGAGTTATTTTATTTTTGCTGGGGGAGGGTACCAGGAATCAAACTCAGGACCTTATGCTTGCCAGGCAGGCTCTGCGCCACTGAGAAAGATCCCTGGCCCTGGGAGGGCTTCTTGCAAGGACACAGATGCCAGAGATGGCAGGCAGGGGCTCTGAGGTGGCAGCAGAGCTCTGAGGGGCTGCATGACAAGAAATACATGTTATGCAGTGAACCCAAGAAGGGCAGTGGTGGCAGTTGGTTGCCAGGGCCCAGAGTTCCCCTCTGACAGATGAGTTCCCATGCTGGGCTGCACAGTGAACCTAGAGGCTATTGGTGGTTGGATGCCAGCTGCTCATAGACTTCCTGGCCTAAGAAGAAGTAGGAGACACAGCGGTCTGAGCCTGGACCAGCAAGGAGATGAAATCCCGTGTGTGGAGCATCTCCCAAGACTTATGGAGTGTTTTGGATCCCAATCACCCTGACATTTAATCTTGCCTCTAATGGGAGTGCCGCGGTGGAGCTGGGAAGGAAAGCAGAGACCCCAGGACCGCTGGGACTGGATGTCACATGCCTTAGAACTCTGTGCTGCTGCCATTTTGGGGGCTGGTGAGGCCTGGCCCATGAACTTGTTCCCAGACATTTGCTGAGGCCCTGCTGTGAGCTGAACTCTGGGGAAAAAGAAGCAAAAGACAGACACAGCCCCACCCTGGGCAGATCCAGAAGTCATGACCTTGTGAAGGAGGTTCTCCAGGTCCTGCTCACTGTCCCCTCTCTGGCCTAGGACAGGCCAGGCTGGGCCCAGTTCTAAGGCAGCTGTGGGTTTGGGGCCTGAGAAGCCGAAGTGAGAGGACTGCTCCTACCCAGAGACCCAGAGGGATAGTGGTTGGGGTGGACTGGGCCCAGGACAGCGCAGGAGGAAGCTGAGGCATGAGCAATAGGGCGTAGGAGACCAAACCCCATGATGGAGGTGGAGCGGCTGGGTCTGGACCAAGCAAAGGAACAGAACCTGAGCCCGGCCGGGGGCCTTGACCGCACTGGGGGAGGGCTCCCAAGATGCCTCCCACGCAGCAGCATTCCATCTTTCTCCTGCTGGTGCCTACATGGAACCTGCCCAGAGGCATCATGAGGGCTAAAGAGAGTCCCCGTGCCCCTGTCTCCGGCACCCCACCAGCCCACCTAGACATTTGGCCTCAAAGCCTGAAACTGCATCTTTACTCTCACTGATGCTGGCACCTGTGTCCATGGGATGCCAGGTTTGCTGGGAGATGCCCCATTTGCTGCTTACCGCACTGGTGGTTCTTGCAGTGGCTGCTGGACCTCCAGGGCCTCTGTGCACCAGGGCAGAGGAGACCTCCCGCATCAGACGTAAGGTTTTGTGCTCACCTAGAACGGATCTCTCCCTGAAGGGAAGGTAATAACTGAACCTGGTACATTAGGGAGATAAAGGCCCAGGGGTCTGGAAGGTGGAGAGGGAGGCGGTGTAGACCTAGGAGGAAGCCAGGCCACCAGGCGGAGGCTGAGGTGTGATGGCCCCCTCCCCTTGCTCAGGCCCCTGCTTGTGGGGAGGCCACCGGTCTCCTTTCTATGGAGTCTGAAAGCAGGGACCAGGGGCCTGGAAGAGCCAGGCACACAGGGCTTTCCGATCCAGTTGCACTGCTTCTCAGCTGTGCGATTTGGGCAAGTTGCCTATCCTATCTAGGCTCATTTCCTTATCTGTAGATGAGAGATATTGATTTGATCAGCACTAAATGGGTACTACAAGGGCAGTAAGTACTGTGGTCAGGCAGGGGCTGGAGTTAAGACATAGATCTGGAATTTAGATCTAAGCTGTGAGCTCAGGGAAGTTGCTTAACTTGAAGGTCTCCGTTCTCTCCACTGCAAATGAATTAATGACTTAATGAGATGGCACCTACAGAAAGCCCCAGCCAATGGCGGCTATACTCCTCATTACCGATGGGTACACTGGTGCTCCCTGTCTATGTCTCTAGAGCCTGGTCCTGTATGCTTGCCCTCTCTGCTTTGGGCACTCCCCTAAACACCTCTTCTTTCTTGGCATGCCCTAGGGAAGCGAAGGTACTACATGTTGTGGAATTTACTTGACATTTTCCCAAACACAAACTCACTGTATTTCATGGTTTTTTTTTTTTTTAGTAGAAGCAGTTAGGAGCTTTATGACTAACCTTAGAGTACAGGGGAGTCATATAAAGTGATAGATTGAGCTCCAAAATCTTTTGGAACCAAACATTTCTGGACTGTGGGCACTGGATATACCCAGCGTGACCCATATCACGGCTGAGTAGAAAGAACATGTTGCTTTACTTCTTACAAATAACCCAAGGAGATAGGTGGCGTTGTCCCCAGTTTACATATGGAGATCAGAGAGGCAAAAGAGGGGCCCAAGTTTGCATAGCTAATGATGGTTTGGCAGGCACATCCTAGCGGGGCTCTCAGGGGACCTCTGGAAAGTGTGTCTGTAAATTCTGGTCCCACTGTCCCTTGCCATCTGTTGTGGATACTCCTGCAAACATTTTCCCTCTTGTGCGTGCCCTGGAGGGATCTATTTGTGCTTCTGACCCACAGAATATGGCAAGGTTGAGAGGATGATAACAGATGTAATGAAGGTCTGAAATCGGTTGATTGTGAGTTAATGGAAAAAGAGACAATCCTGCATGCACCTGTGTTTATGGCCGAGCTATTCACGGCCGCCAAAAGGTAGAAACAATCCTGGTATTCAACAACAGATGAATCTAGAAATGATTATTCTAAGTGTAATAAACCAAGTACAAAAGGTCAAATACTGTATAATTCCGCTCACACAAAGTACCTAGAATGGCAAATAGATGGAGACGGCATGTAGAATAGTGGTTACCAGGGGCTGGAGAGAGGGCAGGCAAGGGAGAATGGAATATTACAGCTGAGTGAGTATAAAGTACCAGTTTAGATGATGCAAATGTCCTGGAAATGGACAGTGGTGATGGTGTCACAACGTTATAAGTGTACTTAGTGCCACTCAGTTGTAAAGGGAGGTAAATCTGATGTTATGCATATTGACTATAATTTTTTTAAAGGGGGAGATTGTCCTGGGTGACTTAATCAGATTTAAGCCCTTAAAAGAGGGACACACTAGGCCACCCTAAAGTCAGAGACACTCTTTATCCTGATGGAATGAGCAGCCATGCTGAAGATGCCCCAAGTCAGGTGGCCTCTGGACCTCGGTGGGCTCCTGCCAGCAGCAGAAGAGCCCAGGCCCTCAAGTGTATGACCCCAGGACCAAATTCTGCCGCCATCCAGGATGAGCTTGGGGCCAGAGTCCTTCCCAGATGTGGAAGCTGCCCAGCCAGCTCCTAGAAAGCAGCCTGTGAGAGTGGGAGCAGCAGACGCCTATGTGGCAAAGGAAAGCACACTGATGGGGACAGAACTTGGTCCCAGGTGTTTCTGACTGCACAGCCCACACCCTTTTCGTGGAGCCTTGCTGCCTGCAAAGGACATCAGCAGGTGGTGATCCCCTCTAGCGTTTACTCCTGTGGAATAAACTCATGGGTCCCCAAGGCCACTGACTGGCAGCACCACTTGGCTGCAGTCCCCAGGGTTGCAGACAGAGCGTCCTGTAGAAAATCTCACTTCAATGAAAGAGGGAAATCCTCCCATTAATGTATTGCCCAGACATTCTTGGAAGATTTCAGGGGCAGGATGAGCCTGGAGACCACCCTTGTTTCCAGGTCCAGGAAATAAAAGGGGATGGGAAGAATGCTTGAAATCAGGGGTCGTGTGCAAGTTTTGTGCAAAAGACAGGGAGGACACTGGCCTGCAGGTCTTGAAAGACCAGGCCATGGATGGTTCAGCGCGATCAGTTGGATTCCCAGCTGACTGTTAAAAAAAGCTACCATGGGGTCAAGGAGGAGAAGAAAGAATGCGAGGGCAATCTGGCTGTGACATCTGTCACCCCATGGATCATCAGGGTTGATTAGGTTGATGTGGCTGGCTAGGCGGGTGTCCCCTTTCTCCCTCACTGCTCCGTACACATCCCTCAATCTTTTGGGTTGAGTTTTCTGATGTACAGTAGCAAAGAAAACGCAAGGTTTACACCAACGCATACCAAGACACAGGCTGAGGAGGCCCGGCCAGCTTGGCTCCTCTTCCTCTCCCTCTGATTGGCTCCTCTGCTCTCTTGTCACCCATACTAGCGGCCGTTCCTGCTGAGTTGCATCGTCTTCCAGGTGGCATCTTCACTTCACTGATTTTTGTTCCCTCATCCCAAACTGAGATTTGCAAAGAAGAGAAGAGAACCTCTAGGCCAGGAGTCCTCCTCCATCCTATAGACAAGCTTGTAGGGGCTGAGTAAGCTGAGCACGGAGAGGGGTACAGGGAACAAATCCTTAGCATTTCTCAGATGTGAGTACAATCCCTATATTCCCAAGGAGAAAACTGATACCCAGTGAAGTGGCCTGCCCAAGACCACACAGCTTGAGAGTTACAGAAACAGGGCTCAGTCTCTTTCTGTTAGACTCCAACCCTCACGGTTCTGCCGCATACTCCCAGCTTCACCTTTGTGTGCCTTTGGCTTCCACTTGCTCCTTCAGTTCACCTGTGTCCTACAGCCAAGCAGGGCTGGACGCAGTAAAGCCGGCTTCCTCTTCCCCAGGAGCGGTGATGGTGGGCCAGCCTGGTGAATGGATGTTCTATCGCCAGTGCCTGGGTGAGTGCAGTTTTCTACCGCAAGCAGGCGTGCAGCATGCTTCCTCCCAGACACGGGCCAGGGCAGCTAGCGAGCTCCAATCCCACATTCAGTTATTCAACACAAATAAGACTGGAATTAAAATTTCATAACCCTATGGCTTTCACCCAAACATCTATCTATCTGCATCCAGCCATCCGATCACTAAAATCTTCATCTGCAGCCTTTCAACCTCCATAAATCATTTTCTATAACAAGCCATCTTGTAATTACTGCAAAGCCCCAAGTGGAGTAGGCCTCTCTGCAGACACAGTGCACTGTGGCTGTCACCACGCAGGGCCCTTGGGGAGCAGGACTCCGGTTCCATACACCGACTGTTGGCCAGATTGTTACAGCCTCTGGCTCCAGGAGACAATCTCTGACATTTACTCAGCAGGATCGATGGGGTGAGTCCAGGTAAACAATGACCAAGACAGACTAGGAAAGGGGATGCTGGGAATGTACCTGGAGGTCACAGAAATCCTCATCTTCATAGATAGGGCAGTGGGGGGATGGGATGTGTGTGTCTCCTTGCTCCTCCCAGAGGGGCTCCTCTGGGATTCCTTAAGGTGGGTGACCTGAGGCGACTTTACCTCTTGTCTCCTCAGTTTCCCTACTGGAAGGCAGAGCCAATGAACCCTGGGTGATATGGCTGCTGTGAGGTGCTGGGTGGGTCCAAGGGCAGCTAGAAGTAGGAGCCTGACTTGAAGCAGGTGCTGGATCAGCTGAGGCCTGCTGACTTGAGGCAGAGACACAGACACTATGCGGAGCGCAGGCAGGGAGGTAAAGGGTGCCCTGGCTTCCAGCCCCCAGCAGCCCCTGCTGATGGTCTGAGGGTACCCTGGGTCCCCTGCGTGGCAGGCGGTGGGTGGACATAGAGATGGGCTAGAGTGAGCCTCAAGGTTGTGTTCAGTAGACTTTCCTCCCATATAGATCAGGTGACTGTGGGGCAGCTCCAGCCAAAGGTGACAGAAAACAAGACTCTGAATTAGAATGATCAGGGCAAGTGAGTGACAGCCAGAAGAATCAGCTCAGGGGTTGCTGCAACAGAACAGATGAAGCATGACGTCTCACAGGCAGACATCTCCACTGCCATGGGCTGAGGACAGAGTCTTGACTTGGGGTGAAGACGCCTCCCTGAAGTCTGACAAAAGGCGAGCGCTCCAGTGTAGAGCTCAGTGTAGGAGGAGGCACTGGGCCCTGGAATGTTCTTGGTCTTTGTCAGAGCCCATGACATTCACAGGTCTTGGGGGTGATGGGGTGCTCTGCCATGCCCTGGACGCTCCTAGGATAAAGTCAGTAGAGCACCTCAGGGGAAGGAAGAGGAGAGAGACAGGAGCATCTGGGCAGGTGTAGAGCCGACCTTTGGGGAATAAGTAGTAGAGAAGAGGGAGGATGGAATTCTGGGCCCAACTCTGCCTCTGAATCACTGTATGATCTAAGGCAGGTCCTTCACCCTCTCTGGGCATGGTCTGCACTTCTGCAGAGTGAAAGATATTAACTGGGAGCTCTCTAGGATCCGTTACAGCTCAGAGGCTTATGATTCTGCCCTGGACTCCCAACTCCCTCCCTTCAATCTGACCCTTGGCTTCCCAGCACAAACTGTCTTTGGTTGGAGGAAGGAAGTCAGCACCAGGAACCCACAGTACTGGTTTACCTCTTGCAAGCTTCAAGGGAAGGCTTGGACAAGAAACTGCAAACCTCCTAGCTCTTAGTTGGGAGGCAGCTATTCATCTTCCACCTCTCCTCCATGTGGCAAGCAGCTGTGCAGCTATTCCGGAAACAGCTTCTGTGTAGCTGGTGGAAGCCTGGGGCTGGGGACACTAAAAACTCTGTCTTCCAAATCCTAGGCGCCTGTGCCCCGACACCAACGCCCAACCTGCAGCACCATCGTTGTAAGTTCTACTCTCTCGGCTGGAGTCACTTTCAGGGAACTCAAAGTGTTGGTACATTATTTTCTCCTTTCCCTCTTCTGAACTTGGACACATAAGGAAGGGAATATTTGAGAGCAATTGCATATACAGGAGAATTTAGGCAAAATACTTGCACAGGGCAAAGTGAAGACTCAGAAAATGTTTTTAGAGAAAAGACAGCCTCTTTAACAAATGGTGCTGGGAAAACTGAATCTCCACTTGTAGAAGATTGAATCTTGATTTCTAACTCTCAATTCAAAATGGATCAAAGACGTAGGTACTGGACCTAAAATTTTGAAACTGCTAGAAGACAGCATAAGGGGAATTCTTGCAACAATAGGCATAGGCAAAGATTTCCTGAATTAGTCTCTAGTAGCACAGGAAATAAGAGCAAGAATCAACGAATGGGACTACATCAAATTAAATGTTTTTGCAAGCAAGGGAAATAACAGAAAGAATGAAGAGACAGCCTACAGAATGGGAGAAAATATTTGCTATCTATTCTTCCCACAGAGGACTAGCATTTAGAATATATAAAGAACTCAAAAAATTTAACACCAAAAAATAGTCCTCACAATTTAATGGGCAAATAAACTGAATGACACTTCTTAAGAGAAGTACAAATGACCAATAAGTATCTGAAAAATGTTTAATACTTTTAACCATGAGGACAATGCAAACAAAACTACACTGAGATTCCCTCTCACTCCAGTAGAATGACAATCATCAAGAATAACAAAACACAGTAAATGCTGGCAAGAATGAAGGGGAGAAAGAAACTTTGTACACCACTGGTAGGAGTATAAATTGGTACAGCCACTATGGAAGTCAGTATGGAGATTCCTCAGAAAACTAAAAATAGAACTACTCTATGGCCCTATTATATTATTCCTTATATAAAAGAATTAAAGTCAGCACACTGTAGGGATACCCACATATCCATGTTTATTAAGGCACATCCTACAATAGCCAAGATATATGGAGCCAGCCCAGGTGCCCACCAATGGATGAATAGACAAGAAATTGATGAAAGTAGAAGTGATACTATTATTAGACAAGAGGGAGGAAATAAGAGGGTGGAGGGAGGAGAGAGAGGAGACAGGGAGGATAATGCAGAAATGGTTATGATCAAAACATGTTATTACGCACACACATGAAAATGTCACATTGAAAGCCAATATTTTTAAATGAATTTACACTAATAAAATACACATTAAAAAGAAGACAGCAATTCAAAGGATAAAATAAGCTATAGAGAAAATTTTAAAAATAGCAAAATGACAGAAGTCTGTCCTTATCACTAATTAAATGAAAATGGATTAAATTCTCAAAAGCCAAAAGGTAGAGATTGGAGGAAACCATTTAAAAAAATGAACCAACAGTATGCTCTCTTCGGGATGCACACATTAGATCCAAAGAGAGAAATAGATAAACTAGAAGGAAAAAAGAGGTATTCCATGTAAGTAATAACAAAAAGAAAGCAAGGGTTGCATATTAATGTCAGATAAAATAGACTTTAAATCAAGATCACAGAGCTCATTAGTGGCAGACCCCGGTCTTCCCAGAGAATGCTCACCCTAGTAGGGTGCTCCAAGCTGCTTTGGAATTATGGTGAATTCCACAAGGGGAACCTTACTCTCACACAAATCCTAGAGGGCAGCCTACATGGCAGGCCACAGTCCACCCTGCCCTGGATCCAGCAGGGAAAGGGGTCCACCATCACCTCTCAGAACCCTTCCTGCTCACCTAGGCATATGCTGTCTCTATGCTGTGCCCAGCTGTGCCCAGCGGGATATGCCTGCCCAAGGCTCTTGTGGCTCTCCACACTTCCCACTCCTGAAGCTCAGCCATACTTACCTTATCTCCCTGTGGGTCTGTGAGTGCAGAAAAGTCAGCTCCAAGAGTATGAGAGCTGGGGAGGTTGCTCATGAGGCCTGGGGGAGGAGCAGGCAGAGACAGTTAGGCGGAAGTGCTCCTGGCTCCTGATCTAATGCTCTCTACCACATCACAGGCTGTGTGAATCCTGAGCTGCCACCCTGTGACCTCAGGTGACAGCCATCAATTGTCCTGGAGCCTGATTACTTACCCACTACTGATTTTTCTCAAGTGAATAGCCTGCCCTTTGAGAGGGGCACCCATCTCCTGTCTAAGCCCAGGACAAAGAGCAGCAGGCAAGGCTCATCCCAGTCACACTGCTGGCTGTCAGAGGTCAGCACTACCCACCTCCCTCCATCCCCAGACAGATGATTCTAAAAAGTTTATGTCCTGTTTCCTCCTTTGATCCCCTCAAGGCTGGTGTCACTGGGACTGCTGCTCTAGTTATAGATGAGGGAAGGAGGTTCAGAGAGGCCCAGCTACCTGGGCTCCAGCACACAGCTGGCCAGTGGTGCAGAGGTGGGCGTATCTCCTGGAGACCAATCTGGTGCCTGGTCCTTCCTCCCCACTGCCTCTTGTGCACTCAGCAATGACATTCCTTGGAGACCAATGGAAGCCTGCAGAAGTGTAAACAAATCAAGGGTTTATTTTTCTCATGGCAACATCAGGTAGTGGCTGTCGGTGTGAGTCCAGGAGCTTCATGATGGCACCAGGGTAACTAACCTCCTTCTCTGTTTCCCTCGATGTCCTTGGCATGTGTGCACTGCCTTGAGATCATAGTACAGCTGCTCCATAGCTGGGCCTCATATCCCAGGTGAGACTAGACATTGAGTGGTTCACCACAGAGTCCCCAGGTTCCCCACCCAAAGGGGGAGATTTCCCAGAATTCCTTGCAACAGCCTCTGCTCCTCTCTCCTTGACTGCACCTGTGTTACATGACTCCTAGGAACTTTCTTTGCTCCTAACAGTAAAAACATTGTGCTGATGAGAAAGAAGAAGAAGATAGAGGTAGAGGTCAGTGGCCAGCCTGCAGTCTCTGCCTCAGCATTTGTGATCTCATTTTCTTGTTTTCATTCTCTCTCTAGGCTACACTGTGGGCATCGCCTTGGTGTAAGCAGGTGGTAAGAGACCGAGTCCCTTGCCAGGTCTCCATGGCAAGCTGTTGGCTAAACCAGGCTTGCACCTGGCACCCAGCCTGGGTCATCTAGAAGCTCCCCCAGTGTGCCGCCCTTCCTCTTTGTCTGCCTCTCTCCTCTGTCCCAGTTCTCTGTGTTTCCCTCTCTGTAGACCAGTCCAGGTGAGCTCATTCCTGCAGTGTGGAAGAGAGGGTGGTGGTCTCCTGACTGAGTCTCATACCACTTTAATGCTAAACTCCATAATCTGCCATCTGAAGTCCAAATTCAAAGCACTGCCCTTCCCCCAGCGTCACCATCCCTCTTACATCCTCACGGTGGGAAGCTTATTAAGGTGACATTGCTAGAGGACATTTGGGCAGCATCTATCAAAATTTAAATGTATGTACCCTTTGACTCGATTATTTCAATTCTAGGAACAGATCATTCCTTCTCAGGGCATGGATTTTCACATGTAGTGAGATTCACTTCATTTGTAAAAACATAATAGCAAAAATTTGAGCTAATCTAATATCTGTTAATAAGAGGTTGATTACATAAGTGATGGCACATCTCTAGCAGTCATTAAAAGATCACAGGTGTGTGCTCCCCATTCCCTGGCTCAGGAGGCTGTCCATCCTGGTTTGAATGAAAATGTTCGATGAAAAGTATGAACAGCATGCTGCTGCTTTGCATAAAAATTTCAGTCACTGTGCATGTGCAGGCGAGTATCTTGAAGGATGAAGGTGTGCAGCGGGAGACCCCGGAGGAAGTCCTTTATGGACATGAGACTCTGATAACAGGAGAATCTCTAAGGCTGCCTGCACACAAGATTACATTCCTCTGACTGCTCCAGGCCACCGCTCCAGTGTTCTGACGCTCTCTTCGGCGTCATCAGTTCTGCCTCTCTGTGGGGTCATTCCCATCAAAGTGCCAGCACCGTATTATTTCTCCAACCTCAAAATACAAAATAAAAAAAAAAAAACAAAAAACAAAACGAACCCTCTCCTACCACCTTTGTTTTCCTTTACAGCAGAATACATTACCAAGCTTACTGTCTCCAATTTCCTGCCATTTTCTTTTCACTTCATGTTCCCGGATCTCATGCCCTGATGCTTCACCACAGCTCTTCTTTTCCCAGACACCAGTGACCTCAGCAGTAAGCCTGGTGGTTATCTTTCAATGACTCTTTAGCTTGGGTCACTAGGCCTGATTGCTTCCCCTCTCTGAGGCCCTATCCCCCATGGCTCCAGGGACCCACTGGCTCCTGGTTTTCCTCCTGCTGCTTGGTGGCTCCTCCTGTGTTTCCTTTGTTGGTTTCCCCATCTGTAAACCCTGGACTGTTCCTGGACTCTTCCTTATCCTTCCTCACTCCCCAGGCATGTAGGTGTCACTGCGATACTTATAGCGCCTCAGTTACATCTTTGTCTAATCCTCAGTCCCTCTCTGAACTTCTGGCTTGTATAGCCCTCTGGTTTGCATGTGATTTCTCCCTTGAAGACACATGTGCTGGGGTTTGGTCCCCAGTGAAACAATATTGAGCGGGGGTGGAACCTTTAAGAGGTTCTGCCTAGTGGGAGGTGATCATCTCATTGCGGCATCACTCTTCGAAGGGGTTAATGTCTGTCTCTTAGGAGTCAGTTAGGCCTCTTGGGCCTGGATGGATTCCAGTGAGAACAGGGTGTTAGAAAGGAGTTCGGCTTTCTCGACTTGCTCTCTTGCTTCCTCGACTTGCTCTCTTGCTTCCTCTCTCTCTGTGTGAAGCTGTCTGATGTGGCTCTCAGCAGAAGCTGATAATGGCACCATGTCCTTGGATGCCTACAACTGGGAGCTTCACAAACCATTTTTCTTCGTTAAGTACCCAGCTTCCGATGTGTTCTTTGTTATAGCGATAGACAATAAACCGAGACAACATTCCAACACCTGTTTGCTGACTCCCTCATCTCAGTTAGGGCAACTCTGTCTTGTATGTTGCTGAAAACAGAACCCTAGAGCCATGCTGGACCCGTCACCCCTCAGTGCATGTCACACTAGTCAGCAAACCCACTAGCTCTTTACCTAAACATTTCCAGAGCAGAGCCCATTTCACCACCTTCACAGCCGCCTCGCTGGTCCCCCTTCCCAGTCCTTGTCCCCTCTCCTAGATTGTGGCCAGAGCTTCTTACGTGCCTTCCCTGATTCTGCAGATTTCAGAGCAAGTCTTCTGTGCTCAGAACCATCAGTGCTCTCATTAGCAAAAGATCCAGAGTCCTTTCAACGGCCCAACCCCACCCAGCCGCCTTGTAGATTTCTGGGTCTTCCTCTGCTCCATGGAACCACAACGACCCCTTGCTTTTGCATATGCCTGCAGGTCTGCCCTCCTCTCAAGGGCCTTTGTGCTCATGGCTCCTCTGCCTGGGCTCCCTTCCCCTCACATCCTCAAGGCTTACAGTCCAGTCCTTGGTCTTTGCTTAAAGTCCTCCAGGAAGCCACCCACACTGTTCCTTCTAGCTGCGTTCAGTCCCCCTTCCCACTTAGCCTCTGCGGTACCTTGTCATTAATTTCTGTTTATTGTAACTTCAACGAGTCACAGATTACTGAGGAGTCAGGCTTAGTTTTTCTCTGGTTTACCCAGAGGACCTGGCTCAGTTCCTGGCATAAAGTAGATGCCCAATTAGTATCTGCTGAATGAGGTGACTGAATCCCCTTTTCCCAGGAAGAAGGTAGGATGCCCAGGCACTGGACAACATGGCTTGTTTTGTGCATAGTTCTGTAGGATCCCAGTCCTCCCAGAAGAACTACATATCTGCACAGTCAGAAGAGTCCGTGGATGTTGGTGGGGTCCTTTCTAGAATTTATTCTCTCTGGAAACCACCCCTTTTATATTTTCATTAAAAATGAGAAGTATTGAATGGTGTCTTCAATAAGATAAGAGTGTTGTGATTGGATATAATCAGTGGCCACAAGCTGTGACCTGAATATGTCAGGAGAAGAAGAACTCAGTGCCCCCTCCCTACCAGGGAACCAGCACCATCAACACTATCGGTGGAGGCTTCTCCAGACCCTCTCAGCAGTTGCTGCCAGAGGCTACTCAGCAAGAACTTCCCACACTGCCTTTAGATTCCAAGTGGGAGTGTAGACAGAAGAAACACCTCTAGCTTCCAGCTGGCTGGGGCAACCAGAGAGGTCAGGAGAAAGAAGATGAAGCAGGAGGCTCTGTCTTTTCTGTCGCCATTGTGACTGAGCCCTGTGATGGGATGAGTGATGGTTTTTGAAACTGACAAAAAGACAGGAGAGCTGCATGTGGTGGTGCATGTTTTTAATCTCAGAACTAGAGAGGCTGAGGCAGGAAGATGGCAAGTTTGAGCCCAGCCTGGGCAATTTAGAAACTAAAAAATTAGAAATTAGAAAGGGCTGGGGATAGAGTTCAGTGTGACAGTGTAAAAGCCCTGTGTTCCATCTCCAGTATAACAAGGGAAGGAAGAAAAGAGCAGCAGCTTGCGAAAGCAGGTCCCAGTTATAACGGGAGAAGGTAAAGGAGCAAGGGTACCTTTTCAAGTTGTCTATGGCTCCAAACTCCCCTATGGCCCATGTTGCCTACGGGACCCCTACGTGGTTCCTGCCAGAAGAGACCTGCCTAGGCCACCGGCACTGTGAGTGGGAGGGCAATGTGAAAGCTTGGGAGAAGGTTGTGGTCATATCTCAACTCTTATTTTATTATTCCTACCTGAAATGGGTGTCTCTATTGACAAGACCATTTTAAGCAAAGATAATTTGCTTTGAAATGAGGAAACAAGACACAATAAAGACTGTTAAAAAGAATTAAATTAGCAACACCTACCTCATGAAGTTGTGGTGAGCTTTAAGTGAGATAATACAAAGATGCCACAATGCCTGGTATCTGAGAAGCAGTCAATCATGCAGACAAGGTGACCTCATTATCATGTGGCCACATGACTGTGCATGCTGCTCTTGGATATCAAGGGTCTGGGTAGTATTGTTGCTCTGTGACCTGCGGGGGGTGATTTTACCTCTTCAGACATTGGCTGATTCATCAATAACATCAGAACATGCTCTTCCCAGCTGGAAAGCAGGAAGAGGGACCAGAAGAACTGGTGAGACCATTTCTAGTGCCTGAAATCATTGGTGATTGGCAATAAGACAATGGGTAGTGTGGAGGGGTGAGCTGGAGGGTGGTATGGAGCACGCCATTCATTCTCCATCACTCAGTACCTTCATTCACACATGCATTCAGGAAACACTTGTACAGTACACTCTCACTCCCATTTCACTAATGAGGAACCGAGGCCTGCAACCTTTGTTAGATTGCACACGCAGCTTTGATCACTGTAGGTCCAGGCAGTGAGCTCTCTGCTCACCTTGGCCGTGGCATGACAAGCTCAAAGACTCACATGGGAAAAAAGACTTGCGTGCATAGAAACGATTGGCTCACCTGAATGAACCATTTTTCCCTGGATCATTGCCAGCAAATCCATATTTGATTTTGCCACCCACTGCA